GCACTGAGTAATTGAACATTAAAAAATCGAGTTTGTAGACTTCGTACAGCTGCGTTTGGTGCTCCGAGCTGATGTTCTGGAAGAACTCCGTGGTCATTTCGTCAGTAGTTCTTGTGGACTTGGCGTAGGTGGGGAACTTCAGGTAGCTGCCCACCCCCGCCAGCTGCAGGACGTAATTGGAATCCTCCTCCAGCGTCTCGTACTTGCCCACGAGGTCGTAGTGGATGTGGCACGGGTGGCAGAGGGAGTAGACGGTCTGCCAGTGCTCGTTGAAGGGCTCCTCGCGCTGGGTGTGCGGGTCGATGAGATAGGCCACGAACTCCTCGAACTTGACGTCGTCGCCCTTGCGCAGGGCCTCCTGCGTGGCGTTCTTGCGCTGCCGCTTGATGATCTTGGTGCCGTAGCGCTTGTGGAAGGACGTGTTGTACTTCTGCGTGAACTTGTTGCGGTAGGCCGACACCAGCCGCTCGAAGGGCTCGCGGACGAACAGGAACTTCATGTAGCTCTTCAAGCGGTGGTTGATCTCGGGGATGCTGTACTGGTTGAGGGTCTTCAGGTTGGCCGAGACGTGCGCCTCGTTGGCCGGGATCTCCATGGGGTCGCTGTACTTGCCCCGCCCGGTCAGGACCATCATGAGGCGCTTCCAGTTGGTGCAGGCCACCTTGGGCACGTAGCAGTAGATGAGCTCGTGGTCCTCGTCCACCACCAGGTGCTTCAGGTCGTTGGGCGTCAGCACCCGCCGCTTGCGGCTCACGGCGCTATTGGCCCGGCAGGTGTCGGTGACCTGGTCCCGGCGCATCTGGTGCAGGACGGCGGTGTTGGACAGCTCGAGCTGCGGAGGGGACACAAGAGGGAGGAGAATTCAGTACTCGGGCGGGAGGTTTGCACTTGGCCACAGGCATCGCCGTGACGGCCGGAGCAGGCCACTGAGACAGCTAGCGGACCACTAAGTGGCCTACATTTCCATCCCTTATTCTTGCTCTTGGTTCCACCATCCTTCCTTTGTGGAATAATATAATGAGCAACTCTATAACGTATGCATCGCCCTCTACGTGCCCAGCATTTTGCTACAGCTACATAAATACAGTTTTTCTTTTTTAAATATATTTTTATTGAGTTCAGAGAGAGGAAGGGGGGGGGGAGAGAGAGAGAGAAAGAGAGAGAGAGAGAGATCCAAAATGAGAGAATCATGGATCAGCTGCCTCCTGTACGCCCCCTACTGGGGATGGAGCTCGAAACCCAGGCATGTGCCCTTGACTGGAATCAAACCTGGACCCTTCAGTCCGCAGGCTGACACTCTATCCACTGAACCAAACCGGCTAGGGCTATACAGTTTTTCTTTTCACTGTACAACAAATTTGAACCGTTGTTGATTTATTTAGTAGCACCAAGTACCTGCCATTATGCCAGGCATCATGCTGCCAGGCACTGCAGATGCAGTAATAAAACAGTACAATGAGGTAACTGCCCCTTTGAGTTTCCAGTCTCGCTGGGAAGAAACTGGAAAGGAGGCTCAGAGAGGTTAAGTTACTAGCTTGAGATCACACAGTGAGCAACACACAGTCAGTATTCAACTCAGGTCTGCCTGGCAAACAAAGCCACCCACTTTCGACTCCACTCCGATGTCCAGCACCCCATCTTCTTGAAAGCAAGCAAGCACGGAGGGCTGACATTTGATTGCTCTATTTTGATGCAAGGGCGGGGGGGCCTGTTCCTCCAAGCCCGTCACTGTGGACATCTGTTGCTTGTTGCTTCCTCTGGCACCGGGGCCTCGACTTTCCTCGGGGAACCTGTTCTCCATTCTCAGTTCCCTTTTCTCTCAAGCTGCCGAGCTGTGTGGATGGCCCCTGGAGTGTGGGGACAGGGAGGGGCTGGGCTGGGAAGGAAGGGTGCAGAGCAGAAAGACACAGGGATGTATGGGGGTGACATCATCTGAATACCTAGGTCTGTACGTGGCTGAAACCAGACCCCCGGACTGCTGGGCTTTTGTTACATTAGTTAATGCATTTGCTTTGCTGTGTGAGGCAGCTGGAGTCTGGATGATATTATTTGCAACCAGAACATTTGGGTATTTGCACGTGTTGCCTTTGAGCTCATCGTTTATGCCATATTCATCTATCCAGTCAGATGTGCGCAGATCTAACAGTGTACAAGGCACTCACTCTATTCTGCTCCGCTGGGAGATACGGCCTTTTCCTAAAGGGCTCACAGGCTAGGAGGCACCAGGCCAGAGCTGGCAGCCTGCATCCGGGCCTCAGGGAAGATGTGTGTGCTCCTCTACATTCTAGGAGCAAAAGTTTCTCCCCAAAAGGCCATTCACTTCCAGGCGGAACCAGTTCTCATGAACCACCTAGAATAGCGGTTCTCAACCTGTGGGTCGCGACCCCTTTGGGGGTCGAACGACCCTTTCACAGGGCTCGCCTAAGTCCATCGGAAAACACATATATAATTACATATTGTTTTTGTGATTAATCACTATGCTTTAATTATGCTCAATTTGTAACAATGAAATTGGGGGTCACCACAACATGAGGAACTGTATTAAAGGGTCGTGGCATTAGGAAGGTTGAGAACCACTGACCTAGAATAAGAGACAGGAGACCAGACCACTTTGGCGCGCCCGCATCTTGGCCTCCAACACCCTATTGTTGCAGGCCAGCCCTAGGTCATGGACTTCACTATTTATTTTGAACAGGAAAACGATGACCTTTGCATACCCTGACTTCTTAGCGGATCTATCCCTCACCTTAAGAAGAACGTTCATGCCATTAAAAACAAAACAACAGATTGTCCTAAAAGAAAATAGAAGGACCAGGAAGGAAAAGGGGCCATCAATTTTGCCCATTTGAATCGCTATGGAGAGTTTTGAAGGCAATAAATTATTAAAAGAGCAGAGAAACGTGGACTCAGCACCCCTCCCACCTCCACCGCCCTTTTCCCAGCTCTTTTCAGATGGAGACAATTCTCGGTGCCTTCTGCGTCCCCAGGGAGGGAGCATGTCAGTTAATACTGCATTCAGGACCACAAAGCCGTGAAAAATAGAAACGATAGTAGCGTATCGCTTTACGTCCAATTGTAGAGACAGAAAATAACTCAGTGGGGCTTTGCCATGTGGTATCTGAGGTTTCTTTCTCTCCCATTTCCTTCTTCTCCGCGCCAGCTGGCGTGGCGAATGGCACACCTGTAGCAGCGAGTCCCTGAGGACTCGGAGGCCAGAGTCAAGGGAACCAGCGCCTTCTCAATCGAGAGACACAGCCGGGCCCCTTCCAGGGGGAGGAAGTCCACCTGGGCCTCCAGTGTTGAATTGTTAGACAAACTGTTTTTTAAAAATATATATTTTATTGAATTTTTACAGAGAGGAAGGGAGAGGGATAATTAGAAACATCGATAAGAGAGAAACATTGATCAGCTGTCTCCTGTACACTCCCTACTGGAGATGTGCCCGCAACCAAGGTACATGCCCTTGACCGGAATTGAACCTGGGACCTTTGAGTCTGCAGGTAAACGCTCTATCCACTGAGCCAAACTGGTTAGGGCAGACAAACTATTTTTTAGAACTACTTATTTTAAAATAAATACAGATGGGTGTTGGTTTAAACTTATTAAAAATACAATGTTACTTAAAATCTGCACAAATATAAAAGTAGGTATATGTGACCCAAACAAATGTGAACACTGACATGGACAATATTAACTGACGGACGATAGTTTTACTGGAACCGAAGTCCTGTCGGAAATGTGTCCAGCGCTCACTGTCTGCTGGGGAGGCTCCCGGCCAGCTGATATCCAGTCCCCTGTGCACACGAGGACTCAATTTTCCCACCACGTCTCATTTCTAGTTACTGTAAAACCCAGCCCCCTGTAACACCACAAGATCTTTACTCGCTACAGATTCATCACGTATCTACTTTCTGTCTCTGCCCATTTCTAATTACCCCAACAGCGATTTCCAACCTTTTTTCATTCGTTGCACACATAAACTGATTACTAACATTCCGAGGCACACTAGGAAATAGATTTTTTGCTGACCTGACCAAAAAATAGGTATAATTTTGATTCATCCACACTAGATGGCTATTGTTGTGTTGCCTGTTGTAAAAATTATTACGGCACACGGGTTGAAAACCACAGGCAAACAGCGATTTCTAACCTTAAAAACGTGCAAATCTGACCCTGTCACTTCCTCACTGGTCCCAAGCAGGGCTCACAGGAGCTCCAGTAACAGGAATAACTCCAGCAATGGACAAGTTCCCTGAGTAGCACCCACAGGGGTGGGGCAACAAGAAGACGGGGCATGAAGAGGACTCGCTGATGAGCAGTTTGCTCCCTTGTCACTGAAAGAGAACACCTGTCTTTCCCAGCCATGTTTTATCAATTCCACTCAGCAGAGGTTTGTTGATCTGGTAACTCTCTGGGCTGTGAGAGGAATCTCTTTCCTCTTTCACTCCCTTTCCTTCCCTTTTTTTTTCTTCCTAAAGCTATTTGAAGCCACCATGAAGGACATAGATGCAGAATAAAACTGAAATAGAATAAAAAACCAAATATACTAACTACACAGGCTGTGATTAAAGACCTCACTCGATTGTGGGCTTCCTAGTGGCAAGGGCAAAAAGGGAAATGTGATTAAATCTTGTTTTTGTGCTCAGAAAGGAGCAGCATTCCAAATGCTTGGGGCAGAAAATGGACATTTTAAGCGACTCAGAAAGTTCAGCGCAGGAGGTGCTTGGATTCCATTTTCTCACTTTGGAGTATTCAGAGTGTTGCTTGCCCCAGCTGACTGAATACCAATGTTACTATTCACTGCCACCTAAAGTCCACAGAATGTTCCAGCATTTACAGAACACTTTCACATACGCCATCTCATTAAAGAACCCACTGGAACTTCTCCAGAGCCTGCTAAAAGAAGGTTTATATTTAACACACCAGACCATGTTTCCAACCACATGTCATTTTTGGGGGGCTGGCTACCGCCAAGTATTAATACTTCATGTTAGTGGTTCTCAACCACCAACACACGTGGACATCACCTGCAGGGCTTGTGAACATGCAGTTTCTGATCTGGTAAGTCAGGGATAGGCCTGAGAATCAACATTTCTAGCAAGTTCCTGAGGGTGCTAGTTTGCTCGGGCTCCCATTACAGAGTACCACACACACACTGGGTGGACGGCACAGCAGGAACTTATTTCTCACAGTCATGGAGGTGCGGGCAGGGGTGGCCTCTCTCCTTGCCTTGCATATGTCCGCTTTCTTGTTGCTCGTCACCTGGCTGTCCCTTCCTCTTCTTACAAGGACACCAGTCCTACTGGATTAGGGTCCGCCCTAAATGGACTCAACTTAATCACCCCTTTAAAGGCCCTGTCTCCAAATCCTGTTACATTAGAAGAGCCTGGGGGATGGGACTTCAACATGTGAATCTGGAGTTGTGGGGAGCCCATCCCACCAGGGGAGGCGGATGCTGCTGGCCCAGGACCCCACGTTGAGAATCACGGGGTCGCACTGTGAGGAAAGGACTGTGATGTGACATCCCTCACCCATTCGTAGCTTTTCCCAATTATAGAACACGGAACCCGGGTTCGTCATCCATGCCAAGAGCGTCCCAGATCTGCCTTCAGTTCCAGCCCCGATCCCCCCCGCCTCCCTTTCATCTCCCGAAAGTATAAATTAGGCCAGAGCGAGGGCTGGTTCTAGGAAACCGTGGACACGGCTGCAGGCTCCCGGCTGGGTCCTGCCTTCTCGTTTGGATGCCTATTTTTAATTTGGGCATTTAAAAAAAGGCAGCTATAATCAGTGTAGGTACCACATTTAGGGGCTGTTTGAAAAAGTCTTTCAAAC